CCCCCGGGCAATAATATTAACTGTTTAGTACACGTTGATTTGCACGCTATAATTCAATACAAAAAAATGCTTTTATATTAATGCAACACTGTATAAATTCTCAACCCTAACTTCAGCGTACAGTATCTAGCTAGACCTATGATAATATTAAAGGTCAATCTTAATGAAAATATTGTCCTTACTTAAAGGTCCGGACGCGATTCGACAACGCGACGCGATTTTTCGATTTTCACTGACCGATATAAACTTTGATCCTAGTTTAAACTTTCTAAATATTTAGAAGCGTTATAACATTTTGAGTTATTTGGTCTACATATCTTTTAAAATTTGCTCTCATTGTCTATTTCATTAACTTTCGAAAACTAAAAAAATCGTGTCGCATTGTCCAATCGCGTCCGGTGTCTGGTGCACTCATAGATAATTTTTTATAGTGATCATTGTCCATTGAAGAAGAAAAACTATTTCATGTAGACAAAAGATTTTATTCATCAATGATCAAAGACAATGGTACTGAAAGACCATCTCAAAGAATGAGTATCAAGCCATTTGCAAACGAATTTAGTATCTTTTCCAGCGAAATCTGCCATGTTATAGTCCGCTAATCACCATGATGGAAAACGTCTAAGTCCCCACCCCCGGGCTGAAAAATTTCGGCAATAGCCCCACCCCCGGGATTAGGAAAGCTGCGAAGGCCCGGGGGTGGATGGGCACTGCTGGAATTGACTGATACATTATATTGTCGTAGGTTTCGCCGTGTTGCTCAGTTTTAATTTTTGAAATTATTGTATTTTTTGCCATTCGCCGAAAATATATCTAGCCGTTTTTATTGGAAGCATGCATTGAGCAGAAGGTACTTTCTAAATCACCTATTATGTTCAGTTTTTTGTTCCCTATTTCTATGTTTTTGGTTTTCCTATATCTTTTTCAAGGAGTTTTTCTCGGTTTAATATTTTGCACGCTTTTGACCAAAACTTCTCGAGACAAAAACAAATTCTACGAACGAGGAAGGCCAAGCCATTTAATTTTACCGTTTTTACACGTAGAACTATACTAGATAAAATTGCTTTGCCTTTGGTATATTATTCCTTCTTAGTGCTTTCTGAAAAATTTTGTATTTCAAAAGCTATATAGTTTTGTTTATATTTTGGGAAAAACCATAGAAATAATAGACTATCTATTACTTCTATGGGAAAAACCCAGAAAAAGGAACCACAGAGGAGATACATACAGAGCTGTAACTGACCGTCGTAAACACTGCGAAAGCTATGTTTTCATGTACCCACTTTTTTTCAGGCAACCGAGCAAAAAATGATCAACTGCGCATGCTCGGCAAGTTCTGCGAGCAGTTAAAGCAAGTCGTCATCCAATTTCATCCAATAGGATTTGTCCATCTAGTAACTTGCCGAGCATGCGAACAAAAAAAGTGGGTACACTAGTTGTAACTCTGTATATGTATCTACTCTGTGGAGGAACTGAGCAAGGCAGTGCTACAGACCACAGTGCATTATTGCATCACAATGCATACATATTAGCCAATCAAATTGTCTGTTATATCCCATTTATATTTATAATGTATATTAGGTGCACGCATATATAATGCTGTAATGTATGTTAGGTGCACGCATATATAATGTTTTGTGTCTTTTGTATTTTAATCTATTGGAGAAGTCCTTCCCGCCCCACACGCTACAGACAATAGTACTTTACTTTTTACTTCAAGTATAATAGGGATACTTTGTACTTTTTACTTTTTACTAAGTATGTTTTGCCTACAGTGCTTTTCACTGTTACTCAAGTCGTTTTTCAAAGTACTTTAGGCACCACTGGGCTTGGCCATCTTATCTGAAAGCACAAAATGTTCTGTTTTGAAAAAACAGCATTCAAAACATTTAAATTTTTGCTGAATATCTTATATTTTGAAAAACAGTATAAATTGTACGGTCTAAATTTATTTGGATAGACATTCCATATTTAGAAAAACAAACGCTCAGGGCAGATATTCTAGCCGTTCCTTGCTTTATCAACAATATAGTATTGTAATTATCAACCGTTATAACCCCCGCCCCCTAACCTCTAACCCCCACCCCTAACCCTAAAGCAGGTGAAGTTTGCCCAACCACCACCCTGCCGCTTCCATAATAAGACAGTTACATTTATAACTAAAACTTTTGTCCAATGCTTGTGGTTTTCTTTTCAGTGACAACCCAATAACTTATTGCTGATAACGGTTGATAATTACAATACTATATTGTTGATAACGTGCGGAACGGGTGGATATTCAAAATTGTATAAATTTCATCAGTGCAGGCACTCATTTCACCTTGAGATCGCCTGCTTGCAGGCTAGTGCCACCCATGCCATAAATGACCGGTCCCACAGGTTTGCAACCTCGTACCCAGGGCTTCTGCGCTTATTGCTCTCAGAAGCCCTGGGATAATCCAAACCGGAACACCATAAAACATTGGTGCCACCGGAAGCGGAAGTAAGCAGTAACTTCAGCTAAAAACGCTGACTTGGAATATTTTTACGCAAGGAGTGAGAATGCATTATTTGTTGCAATTTATAATACATTTGGACTTGTAAAACGTCTTAAACTGCTTCTCGCGTGGCTTTTGGAATTTAAAGTCAGGATTGGAATTTAAAGTCGTGTATGTCCCGCCTCGGTCAGATAAATCGTGTTAAGCATGTACTGGACAGGCAAACACTTATCACTGTAATAAACGCTCTTGTCTTCAGCAAGTTATTTTACTGTTCGAATGTTTGGGCCAATACAACTGGCAAAAACATAAACAAATTACAATCTGTACAGAACTTTGCATGTCGTATCGTTAGCGGAGCACGAAAGTATGATCATGTTACACCACTTTTAAAAGAATTAAGATGGCTTCCTGTGGCAACTCAGTCGTACTATCGTAGCGCCACTATGGCTTTTAAGTGCATGACGGGCTGTGTCCCAGCTTATATTTCATCCCAATTTATAAAGCGTCAGGAAGTATCTAACCATCATACTAGGAATTCACAACAACTTAATATTCCGTTATTTAAAACGGCAACAGGTCAACGGACATTTTATTACAAGATTGTTAGTCTATGTAATTCTTTAGACTCTTCTTTAAAACTTTGTGAATCAGTTGATTCTTTTAAACGTCGTTTGAAGACGAAGTTATTGCATGAGTTTTTGAGCAACTAGGTTCTTACGCATATACAGTAGCATAGGCTTGTAATTGTATTATTAATATTATATAGTTATTATAAATTAGTTATTCTGCATGTAATTAGGTAATTGTCTTTGAAAAGCCTCTATGGGGAAAGATAATAAAGTATCAATCAATCAATTATGCGTAAAATAAGCCCTTTGGCGAGCACAAGAACATCTTATATCGCGACAAAAGCATATACCTTGTCAGCGATATACAGGGGCTATTCAATAACTAAAGTATAAACATTTATACTCAAGTACAACCTTGGTCATTTCAAAGTCAACAAACTAGAAATCGTACTGGTAACATGGCTGGCTGCCGATTATCTTGGATTTGAGGGTTTTGAACAAGATATTGCCAGTAGCGCAGCCAGCCCGACTATTTAGTCCCGCTATGCAAATATTTTCGTGTTCATTGACTGTGAAAACAATCAATTTCTAAAGAAATGAATGATAATAATTTTGAATTTGCATAGCGGGACTAAATTGTCGGGCTGGCTACGCCACTGGATATTGCAAGATTTAATTATAAATACACAAGATATACTGTACTGTAAACATGCATCTACTTGAAGAATGTCAAATCAACAGTGATGAGTGATGTAATATATTTCTGTGTTTATTTGGAAAACCTCTTTTGCAAATCTTGAGAATAATGGCTTTGGGAATGTTGAAAATAAAAAACTATCAGATAGCTGCATGGACAGCATGGTTAGAAGCATATACATGTCATCGGATGAAACTCCAACTTTTGTTAATTGCCAGCTAGCTGAAATACATTTTAATTAATGACAATTGATGTTCTAGTATGGAATGAACAGTGATTATAAGAACCAATGGTGCTGAACTAATTTGGGTTTATTATAAAATATTGTTTATCATTTAGTTCTGGCCATTAGCCTGGAGGAGGCGTGTTAGTAGCTATTAAACAAGGTGTTTTCATCAGCTGCAGTCAACTTACTTCTATTGCGACTTCTAACTTAGAGGCTGTTGCTATCCAATGCACTCTACCAAACCACGAAAAATGGCTCCTTGTGTGCTGTTACAGACCACCTGTTAGTAAAGATCTGTCTGATCTTAGATCCATGGCTGATAATTTATTTCCAAATTACGACAACATCATTATTGCTGGTGATTTCAACCTTCCAAATATTTCTTGGACAGATTCTAACCATACATCAACTGGAACATTAGGTCAAAATTTCTGCGATATCTTGGATGATTACTTCATGTCTCAACTCTGCCTCATCCCTACGAGAGAATCAAACATTCTGGACTTAATAATTACGAACCAACCTGAACAAATATCGATTTTAGACATTTGCGACCCAACCGAGTTAGGAATGAAAACTGATCATAAAGTTACTAGATTTACGTTTCGTAGACCAAACGATCAAATAAACGTTTGGTCTACGATTACAAAAGCGGGAACTTTGATGATCTACGAAAACGTCTAATAGACATGGATATTTGTTCTCTTATGACAAACAATGGAACTGATTCTAGTATCGATGATGACTGGTCAATTTGGAAGAATGGTGTGTTGACTGCTGTACACGAATTTATCCCCACAAAACAAGTAAATCCAAAACGTTCACCCCCGTGGATAACCCCAACCATCTTGCATCAGATCCGTGAGAAAGTTATCACTCGTAAGAGATACCTAAGCCGAGGAACTGACTATCTGAAAGAAAAATTCAGTCGATTAAGAGCTCAAGTCAAGAAAGCAATTAAAGAAAGCAGAGAGTCGTTTTTCCAATCCTTAGGCAGCACATTAAAGATTAATCCCAAACGTTTTTGGTCCATCTTCAAAATTAAGTCATGTTCTGGAAGTGTACCCAACTCAGTCTCGAGAATTTGTACGAACAATCCTGAAAGTAGATCACAGGCATCCACACCGCATAATATTGCATCAATGTTTAACGAGTACTTTCATTCGGTATACACCAGCGTCTTGGAACAACCATCCTCAACTCAACCTAGTTCATCTTCTTCAATATCAAGTATTTCATCAATTGATCTCACCCAAGAAGAAGTGTGCCATGCTCTACAGAACTTAGACCCTTCCAAAGCTCATGGTCCTGACGGGCTTCCTTCACGTATTCTGAAAGAATGTGCTCACCAATTGGCGCCATCACTTCATTACCTTTTTACTAAGTCACTCAAAATATCCCAGGTTCCCGCGGAATGGAAATTAGCGAACATTATTCCAATACACAAGAAAGGTAACAAGGACCACGTTGAAAATTACCGCCCAATCTCCTTGTTATCCATCGTAAGCAAAACTCTTGAACGATGTGTACTCAACCATATATCTCATCATATACAATCTAACATTCATTCAGCGCAGTTTGGTTTCGTAAGCGGTAGGTCGTGTGCAACACAATTGTTATCCATTTTAAACACCATTGGAAAGAACTTGGACAAGGGGTTACAAACTGACGTTGTTTTTATGGACATTGCGAAGGCTTTCGACACTGTTGACCACTCCAACTTGTTGCGAAAACTGGGTGAATTTGGTTTCTCTGGTTCTGTTCTCCTCTGGTTTCAAAATTATTTATCAGGACGCTTCCAGCGGGTAACTGTTCATGGAGCTACATCACAATCCTTGCCTATTACATCTGGCGTTCCACAAGGATCATTATTGAGTCCCTTCCTCTTCTCTATTTACATAAACGACTTACCTAACCACTTATCCTCCTCTACTGGGGTCGGTTTGTTCGCTGATGACACCAAACTCTATAAAGCCGTGCAGAACCCTTCTGATGCCTTGGTTTTACAAGAAGATATACGGAGTCTCCAATCTTGGTCAGAGGAAAACAGGTTGCGTTTTAACAATTCTAAGTGTAAAGTACTTTCTATCACAAGGAAATCATCTCCGCTAATCACTTCGTATAGTCTTGACGGTCAACAACTGGCTTTGTCTAACACTGAAATTGATCTAGGCGTTGTTATGAATTCCAACCTAACCTGGATCAATCAAGTAAACAGGGTGCGATCTAAAGCTAATAAAATGCTTGGATTTATACGACGGACTACAATGGAAATGCATGACATCGGGGCGAGGAAGTACCTTTACTTACAACTGGTCCGCAACAATTTTGCGTATGCGTCTCAAGTATGGTCTCCACAATCAATCAAATTAATCGAGAATATCGAGAAGGTACAGAGAAGGGCGACAAAATACATTTTAAATCTCGGTTTTATCACCAACGTTCCATATACAACAAGACTACTTCAACTCGACTTACTCCTTTAACTTATTGGCACGAATATTTGGATTTAGTTCTACTCTACAAAATAATCAATGGCTACACATATATCGATGACAGTGCTCGACCAACAATGGCTGGTTCTGGAATAACGAGGAGCGAAACAAATGAGAATGTATATAAATTTTCAATACCATTTGCCAGTACGGTGACCTTCCAGACTTCTTATTTCATTAGAGCATGTAAAACATGGAACATTTTGGGCTGTGATCTTCGTCACAGAGATATTGGTCTGAATACCTTTAAATCAAAACTTAAGACATATTACGAACACGCGCTATCCAAAATATACAATTGTGACGATCCACACACATGGAAGTCGATATGTGTTAAATGTAGAAGGGCGAGGTCCCTGGACGGTGTTTTAAGATGTTGCTAGTTGCATGTATGTTATGTTTTGTTGTATGTTATGTTTTGTTAAGCGTAATGCCAGTTGTCTGTTATTAGATTATTCAATACTAATATTAACGTGATTTAGATGTAATTATTAAGGACTCGCCGTAATTGGGGACACTGTGGCGAGTATCCTGGCACTACATTGTTAAAATTTAAATTTAGTAGTTGTCGAACATTATTAAATCATTAAATCAACCTTACCTATTAAGTTATACATTGTGTCCTACTTTTAATTTTACTCTGACTGTGTAACACCAGATGATTTTATGTGTTGGGATAGATCACTGGTGTTCAATGGATTTGAATAATAATCTCACAATTGTCACAATTAATTGTAATCTTGTCCATTCACCTCTAGCTGTGTCAGTTTAAAAAAGCTTTAAATGTAGAGACATTTGTAGTTCCTCCAGCATAATTTAGCCGTTTAACGCTACTATGTTTCTAATGGTTGAAAGAGCGCGTGGAAAGGGCAATTTTCAAGAACAGAAACAATTACAATAGTGTGTGTTTAATAATTGCTACTGTAGTATTAAAATACCTGAAGAGAGTCTCAATTCTAATATTAAGTCGGTTATGAACCTTGATAATATTAAAGTTTTCAGAAGATTTGTATATCAGAGAATATTAAAAGGAATTTAGACTTATAAAACATATAATTAAAAATATGAATATAGTGAATTCCATGTTTGTATTGTGTTTAATATCATCTCTAGAAATTAACAGTTTATAAACCAAATCCTTGTTATATTTTTTAACTGCCCTTATATGCAACAGCACTTCTCAAATTATTGAATTATAACCAAATTTTGTGTCTGGATAGGAATTAGTATTAAAGATTTATAGTTTGTAATGATAGACTTGGAGCAAGTTAAGCTGCAATGTGCCTCAGTTTGCCCTACTTTGTTATTTTAAGCTGTTTAATTAACGCATCAAGGAGAAAGTATTGGACTTGGTATTTGAATGGGTTAACCAGTCCATCTGCTAACCTGCACACAGACTATATAATAATATATATGTCATTATATACTGTAGTCTGTGTGCAGGCTATCCATCTGCATGTCTACCTATCTTTGGTTAATTATCTCATTAGATCATTAAGCCACAATGCTCTTTAGTGCACCCTATTTTGTTATTTCACTGTAGTTCTGGAGAAAATTTCTCATCAATGGCCGGAAATGTACTTGACTTCATGTTGATTACTGCCATTAATTAACTAACTACTGTACTAAATACGACATTCAAGGTTGAAGATATAGCGGTTGCTATCATTGTAGCATTCAGGGGTGTCGCTAGCCCAAATTGTCAGGCATTTGGCAAATGGAAATTGTTTTCATGGCCAGCATGATTTGAATTGGAAAGGAAGGGAAAAAATCGAAATATACGAGTTTTTGTTGCCCCTCCCCTTCTCAGAGTAGGTATGTGTTGTTTTATAGTGTAAATAACAAGTTTTGATACTGCAATCAAACTGACAGGGTAGTTGTCATGACCATGCATGGTAATAAAAATATTTCTATGGCTCGGCATTTATGTTGGGCAATTTTTTATCATTCATCACAAAATTATATCTGCACCCTAGGTGGTTCCCTGCAGGGGGTCATAACCAGGAGGAAGCTGATGAAAATGAATTCTGGTTTTGGTGGCTGATCACTGTCATTTAATATGAATAGAACATTCCTTAAAAAAAGTATACGAGTTTATTAAAAATATTTATATGGTCTCCCAATCTGAAATACATACTTTGTAACATCTGGATCAAAAGGTTTATGATGTTTTCTTGGACAGAATCCAATTAATACAACCTCGTACAAGGGCAGGGCTTCTTTGAATTACTGTGTGGACAAGATTAACAAAGGGATTGGCAATTTGGCATATTGTGCTACTCAATAAGTTAAAATCATTAAATACTTTATGCTACAATTAGCTGTCAGTAATATTATACTGTATATTATTGTGTTTCATGTGACTTCATAAATTTGATGGGTAGTCAACTCTAAATTGAGACACAGTCATCAGAGTGAATTAATTTTTCACCGTATGTGTTGGCCTTGCGTTTGGTAGCAAATACATGTAATTTCATATCATTTGCTCACTCCAGTACAACATAAGCATCAATACATTTATTTTTTAGGTTGACCCCCCATCAGAACCAATGACAGAACGTGCAAAATGCCATAGTGAAACCCAAGAATTCATTATATGTACTATGCAGTATGCACCTATCAATGTTAAGCCCCAGAGGAGGGGGGGTGGGGGGGGGGCGGGCACAGGTGGGGCATTTGATTTTTAGAGCAAATTTTCAATGAAATGCCCCACCGTCGGGCAATAAATATTGGTCAAATGCCCCACCATTTTGCAGCAAATACTATGTTAATAAAAGTCATTCATTCGGTTCAAATTGCCCCAACTCGGGGCCAAAATGCTATTCAAAATCCCCAGGGTGGGGATGCAATTGATGATCAAATACCCCACATATGCCCGACCCCCCTCTGGGAGTTAACATTGATAGGTGCATTAGGTGTATGCAGACTGGAATACAAGTTAATATCACTGCCTGTGAAATTGTGGTTTATTTAGAGAATAAAGGTTTTTTGAACTCTTCTATAAATAAATTATAACAGCAAAAGATTCATATGCACCCATATAGGGAAGGCTTACATGCTACAAGTTAAAATGAGTATTACATACTCCTGCACTTGAAAAGTTTACAGCACAGTATATACATTAAATAATAAAATATATAACAGTAAATCCCAAGATTGGATTTATTGAAACTAGTCATTAACTAGTTCTTCGCAATTAAATAACACAAAGACAAATTAATAAAAGTTATTAACCATTTCTGACACAAATATTATTTGCAAAATATAGCACATATTTGATATTATAGTCAAATAGTACAGTGTACAGTGTACTGACAGTAATCAGTACTCTATACTATGTATAGATTAAAACAACAGAAAACCTGTACAATACAAATATGAGTAAAGATTTCACGCTCCATTTAACTGTTGTGATATTATACGCATTAAGTATACGTTTCTTTGCATTTCCTTTGTAGTATTAGTATATAGCACAGCTCTGAAAAACCAAAACAATATTCGTACACTCCTAAACGGCCGCCATGTTGTATATAAAAATATACGGTTAAAAATTAATTTTTGCAAAATTGCAACATTCCATTGTATACCAGCAACCAATCATATTCATTTCTGAGATGGATTATCCCAGAGCCTTCGTTTCCTTCCCAAGGATCGCAGGCTCGGGGAACGAGATTGA